TTGTTGGTGATGGCTGTGGTGGTGTTGATGTTGGTGGTGCTCGCTAGGTGGTGTTGGTCTTGGTGGCGGCAAGATGTGATTTTGTGTGGTGTATGTGGTGGCGGCAATGTTGTGGAGGCGATGGCAATGGGCCTAATGTGGTGGTTGTGATTTTTGTTGGCAACAGTGGAGGCGATGGCGACGATGGGATGGGACAAATAGTGTTTGTGACCAACTATTTGGTTGATTTGCCACCAAGTATTGGTGGTGGATCGAGATCGGGGGATGGGAGTTTGGGTGTATATGACCAATTATTTGGTTCGTCTTCGTTCTGTTGCCCTCATTTCTCTCTCCAAAATGTTTTAATTTATTTGTTGTCAGTGGTGGTGATTTTGTGATGATGGTTGACAGTAGTGTTGGATTTAGTGGTGGCGGGTTTGTTGGGGGTAGGGTTGTGGTGTGGTGGTGGCGGATCTGACGGGGTATGTTGGATCTGATGGTGATGGAAGCGATTTTTGGCTTGGGCACGGTGTTGTGTGCGGTCAAGGTGTTGATCATGATCGGATGTGGAAGTGGGGTGTTGGTTAATTTGTAACCAACCATTTTGTTATCTGTGACCTAAAATTATATTATTTGTGATCGTAAAAGAATCTGTGATCAACTAATTTGGAAATCTGTGACTTTATGACCTATAAATTTTGAAATCTATGACCGATGAATTAATTGTGACCTGCAAATTTCTTTTATATGTGACCATTAAAAAATTTGTGACCAACTAATTTGGAAATGTGTGATCTGTAAATAAACTGTGACCGAAAATTAATTTTTAAATAATTAATTAGATATATGTGACCAAATTGTATATAATTGTGACCTTAACAATTGTCGGAATCGGAGCAGTCGCCAGAATTAAGAAGCGGCAAAACGATCACCGGAATAGTAGTCGGAATTAAGCGCGGTCGAGGAACAGTCTCCGGAGTAGTCGTCAGTCGCCAAAATGGTCGCCGGAGCAGTAGGGGTGGTGGAGGTGGGGTGGGTTAATTATTTTATATTACAATTAAATATTTAATTAATTAATAAATACCCGAATTTTGCAAATTTGAAACTTAACACCTGATTTTTGCAATTGTCAAAGTTAATACCCGATTTGTAAACTCTTCCTTAAGTTAAAAATACAGCTTTATTCTTTCATTCAAGATGACATCCTCAATGTTTTCAAAATGTGGTGGACGAAAATCAATTTTTTTAACTGTCAAATGGTGTGTTGTCGTGTGGCATAATATAAAAGAAGATATAAAAAATTATGTACAGAACAATTCACTTGACAAATTAAATATTTAGTGACAATGACGTGATAGACAGTTGATGGGTTATTTACGCTCAACCTATCTAGACAGAAGATCCGTTAGAAAATAGAGCTTGAATTCATAATAATTCAAAAGCTTAGAGGGAGGAATCTCTTTCAGCCACTCGGTATCGTCAAATCATTAAGATCATTTTTTGTCCCTACCTAACATGTGGATTTTGCTGTCAAGTTCCCTTCTACCTATATACTCGAGCTCCAATCTTGGCTCGGCCCGAGAAAACTTTTGCACGAACGATACTATATGTTTGTTTCAAAATGATTCATGAAGTCAACGTTGAATTTGTATAACTTTGATACAAGGATAAGTTCACATATAGTTTTGAAATAAAAGATTAAGTTATTTGCGTAATTAATGTGTTGAAACACATACAAATAACATTAAACAAATAAAATGAAATGATTTTTAATATTGTTTAGTTAATTTATTTAATAAAAATTCTTCTCTAGATTTCTTTACTCCTTAGAGAGAGCGACTTTTTACAAGAATCGTTTATTTTGATGGCTAATTTATTAAAATGTAGATTTATTTACAAATACTTTCTTAGTCAAATCCAAATCCTTTATTTTGGCTCTTCGATCTCAAATTTATATATTGTGTAAATATTTTACATCCAGCAATGGAATTAGATACTATTTATTGCGATGTTAAAATTAAGTTACCAAAAAAAAAAAAAAAATCGTTCGAAGTATGTGTTTAACACAAATAAGTTACTTTCTCAGAATCATATATCGTCATCGTTAAGATAACTCTTCTTTCATTTTACCAAAGGCTATAATGCAACTAGCCAGCTCGCACAAGAAAAGCATGGCTTGACTCGCCCCATTTGACATACCTTCCTATGGTTTGTTCATTGAAAATTTTGAAATATGTTATTCGACCTGGTTGAAGTAATTACTAATTAGAAATTATATAACCTCGTTCACTTGAAAAACATGCAAAAAAATAAAGGGGTAATTCAATTCTCAGTACTTATTCAACTTGGGTGTTTTTTACGACATGCATCTTATTTTAACAAGCTTGCTTAATCGTTATTGAAGATTTATACAAGGGAAAAAAAAATCGTATAGTCGGCCTTAAGTTTAGGCCAATTCAATTTTAAGAGAACAAGTTCACATTTCCAAAACTCCGGTGGTAATTAAATTATATTAATTAAATAAATAATTATATATAAAATAATTCTAATATCGAAGCAGTCCGAGCCTGTGACCTCGACATCCGCTCCCAGTCATCCCCTTTTAGAGTCGTTAGCATCAACCTGCCAGCATCTACCCCTTGACATCCACTCTCATAGTTAACGACATCTAAATAACTTCGCTGAAGGAAGATAGAATTTACAAAGAACAACTTCCTAAAATATCGAACAAAAATCTACTGAGAACTTCTTCCTAAAATATCGAACAAATATAGAATCTATAGAGAACTTGCCAGAGCAATAACTTCGATTCTCATCGTCGAAATCTGGTTAATTGATACTCGTCAAACGATTAAAGTCACAAGTTAGAAGTTATCGACATTGTGTATCAGAAGATCGCACAAGGAGAGAATTTATAGAGTACTCACCAGATCAAATAACTTCAATTCTTACCGTCGAAATCTGGTTAATTGAATTTGTAACCAATTTGGAGAAATCAATGGCACGTGACATGTTCTCTTAATTTTGTAACTTGTGACCTATGCTCTATGACATGTAATATGTGTTACACGTGACCTGTAAAGTGTTATCTATGATATTGTTCCAATGACCCATAACGAATTTTCCTAGATATGTGACATGTAAACATTGATTTGTTGCCTTTGAACTATTACATGTGACCTGTGAATGGTGACATGTGAACTATAACATATGATATTTTAATATTGACTCGTGAACTATAACCCGTGACTTGTGAACATCTGTGACTTATAGAATATGACATGTGACCTGCGAACTATAAGACTAATTAATATTAAGATGTGAACTATAACCAGTGAACATCTATGACCTATACAATATGACATGTGAATTATAACATGTGACCAATTAATATTGACTTGTAAACTATGAACATCTGTGAAATATACAATATGAAACGTGACGAGTGAACTATAACTTGTTATCTGTGAACATAAATCAGTGATCTGTGACCAATTCTATTTTTAAATTTATATGTCAGAATTTTATATTTTTAAATTTATTTAAACAAAATTTTGTTCAAAAGTTTGTTTTCCACGTTTCGAGTGTTTTCAAAATTTCCATTGAAAACACTTAAAATGACAAAATTGCATTTTGAGTTTTATGTTATAAATTTAGCCTTATTTTCAAAAATGCATTTCTAGAAATACTAGATCAAATACGTTTTCCGTGTTTTGAAAATATGAAACAGAAAATAGATTGAAAATAGCAAACTAAACGCATCCCTAATTTTTAACTGAACAACTTAATTAGGAGTCCAAGAGCCATGATTCTACTTATTAACATGAATAATGTTATTTGTAGTCGGTGACTACAATAGTCGTCCTACTTGACATTCTATATGACAACTTATTATTTGAGACGTTAATTTCTTATAATTTTGCTATTTGGTACGGTTCAAAATCCAATTAAAATTGAAAATATAGTCGTTATTGGGTCCCATTCATCTAATAAAAGTCAACAATAACGGTTAATTTTTCAATTTTAATCCGATTTTAATCTCTAACAAACGCCCTCTTAATATTTGAATAATAAATTGAAGAGTTAAGCCAAATGTACAGAAAATGAGTTTACAAAACTTCTACCACCTCTCACATGAGGTGGGTCCTATGCGGGATTGAACTTCTTAGAAAATGGATAAAAAATTTGTCGACCCCATGCCTTGTGAGTGATCTGTTGGGGTTCTGTGAACCCCCACCTCTGTAAGCCAAGCTCGGTTCTAAATTCAAACGTAGAATAACTACTACAGGCGCTATGATCGACTCCAAACTTTCATTTACATTAATTAGTTTTATATAATTCTTAAGTCTTAAGCAATTCAGAATTTGTTTGGTCTCACTTATTTCAGAAATTGAGAAAGGTTCAAAACTTCAAATTGACTAAGTGTGCCAGAGGACACGCGGCGAAGAACGCTTCGAATTGCGTGAAGTACCTTCTTGAACCAAACAACCAAACTACCCTCTCTCTCTCTCTCTCTAGCCGCAATATGCCAACAACAGTTACCCACCCTGCCCATTAAAAGGAAGAGAGAGGCGAATCTACATGAAATAGAGCAAGAAAAATGAGTAAGCTAAGCACATCCAGCTTGGAAATCGATTTGGATCGTCCTAATATTGAAGACT